GCTCTCCCACACTGGCAGCCTTCTCCAGAAGCAACGCTTGGAGTTGCTGATTTCATCAAGTTCTTAATACCAAGGTGCAGCACTGTAAGAAGCTGAATTCGTTATCTAAATCAAGTGCCACACTTTGGAGACAGGCACACAGTGGTAACTTAGCTTGGTAAGAAAGGACCCATCCCGCCCCTTTCCCAACAAGTTTAGTTTCTCACCTTCAGTACTGCTACCCCATCAGACAGCTTGGCCAGTCGCTCGTTCAGCTTCTCTTTTTCATATTCACTCGTGGTAACTTCCAGCTGTTCGATGATTTCTTGAATGCGTTTCTCAATCTGAGCCTTTTCACCCTTCCCCTTCAGAAGCATGGTGTCATCTTTTGTCACAATGACCTCCCCAACTTTACCGAAGTCATGAGGCTGAATATCTTCCACATTTAGGTTCAAACCCTCTTCTCCAAACACCTGCAACAAATTACACCAAAAGTTATAAATTAACGTGCAGGGAAGCCAGGAATGACATAGAAACACGTGAACACACACAGCAGGCTGGGAGTGCAAAACATGGACACTACTGCAGCCAAGGTGAACGGAACTCTTCTCCTAAGAAGAGTCCAGGTACCTCAGACTGGCCCTCACAGAACAGGAGCTGCCAACTTCTCATTCCTGGCTGACTAACAGAACCCACAGGTTCAGAGTGCCCGGGAAGCAGAGTTGTGTTACGGAGCCCTCCCGTGTTCCAAGGATACTGGCACTGAACTGACTTGAGAGTACAGAGTTTGTCACTTTGTGCTCCAGTTACCTTAAACAAAGTTTTTTTTCAAGAACCTCTTTTGCATCCCAACACCACACTATGATTTTAAGCGTGTGTATAAAATAAGCAATGTAGAGGGACATTCATCAGGACATGAACTATTTGGGAAGTTGAGTACAAAAGAAAATTATCCAGTCTATTCCAAACACATAAAAGAATTCTATTTGCCATACTTGAGTCTGGACAATTGTAGGACAATCAGTTTGATAAGGTGGTTAGAAAGCTTTGCTATCTCTAAGAGTTTTCCTTGAAGTTCCTCCTTAACAACCTGAGTGCTGCAAGGAAGTTGTGTGTGGCTTCAGTCAGCTAGAAGGACATGCTACTCCTGGTTGGCCAAGCCTGTACCACACTAACTACCAGCATCTGTATCTAAAAACAAATGAGGATTCCATTTTTGAAAGAACAGGACACGGCCTGCCTGCAACAGCAAATACAAGCCATGGGAATAAACCACACCTTCTTCCCCTCCTTCAACACCGTTAACATTTCCCAGAGCAAACAGCCAGTTAAACATCACTACTTACAGCCCCGCCAGTCGCAATTGCCATGTCCTTCAGCTGGTTTTTCCTGTTGTCACCAAAACCTGGTGCTTTTACAGCAACAACCTGAAGACCAACCTTCAGCCTGAGGAGAAGAATGCAGAGAGCAACATTCCACATGTCTTCAAAGAGCAAGTCTGATTATTACTAAAACCAATTACTTCAGCACAGCTCTAGTAATCTAGCAAGCAGAGACATGTTACACTGTGGCAAATACACAGATTTATGTATTTTCCTTTTAAAGGATGAAAACACACCAAAAAAAAGTGGTATTTGACTACAAGAATGGATTTTAAGCCTTACCTGTTCAAGACTAGAGTGCTGAGGGCTTCTCCATCAACATCCTCAGCAATGATGACCAAAGGTTTGCGGTGAGAATTGGCAATTTCAAGAGCTGGAACTATGGACTGTACACTAGAAATTTTCTTTTCACTGATTAAAACGTAAGCGTCCTGGAACTCACATTTCTGCCCTGCAGAAACAATGTACATTACCTGAACATGTTACCTGGACGATGATAAAAGCATTATCAAGCATTCTCTGAAAACTTAAGGAGCTGCTCTGGAGTAACTGTTGCACTTTTCAATGGTGTTTAAAAATGAGACAAAAATTTTCTCCAAGACTTCACTCGCAGTTGTTCTGCAGTTGCTGGGCCAGCCTGATGTGAGCATGGCCACTGGCTATACTTAGCAGTGAATCCAAAAAAATACCCAGGGACTCCAAGCTCTTAACAGGAGTTACAAGTTTCTGATGGCAGAAAGATCCCCTGTCCCATCTGCTGTGGAACACCATGTTAACCGACTGGGAAGTTTTTATAACAGGTACCATGGTTTCTAACTCAGAAGAGCCACTGTAAGGTATTTGACATTTCTTAACTCACCTTTGGTTGTATTAATAAAATATGGAGAGATGTAGCCTCTGTCAAATTTCATACCCTCAATGATTTCCAATTCATCATTTAGAGTTTTTCCATCCTGTTTGGAAACAAGAAAGTCTGTATCAAAGATCTTTTGCTGCCAAAAGCACAAGTCTAGTTTCAGCATCCTCCATGTAACAGAATGAGAGGCTCTGCACCACCCGTCAGTTTCATGTGCTCCCTTCAAATTAAACAGACTACAGGAGGGAACAGTGACCACACCCCGATCTGAAGGAGCTGGGGAGGGGGAATTATGGTGGGATAGTGCAGGAGAGCAGCAGCAGCTACATCCCATGCCTCAAGAGCCAGCCCTAGCAGAAGAGACAGTGAGTGTGCACTCAGCCCATGCGCTGGCCAGTTCCTACCTTCACAGTGATCACACCCTTCCGGCCAACTTTTTTCATTGCATCTGAGATTATATTACCAATCTCCTGATCTCCATTTGCTGATATTGTGGCAACCTGCAACAGGAAGATGATTAATTGCATTTCACAATACAAGAGATTTGTTTCCTCACTACAAAGAGCGTCAGAGCAGCCACGTGCCTCTGTCCCACCTCCTGACAAGAGGCCAGCTGACCATGGCACATCCATGCCAGAGCCCTGTGAGAAGGGCTGGCAGCTCTCAGGCTGGTCCCCGGCACCACGCACGGGCACCTCAGTCTGTGTACAGAACAGCCATGAAGGCCAGCACAGCTGCTGCCCGAGAGCCAGCCCAGCATCACCTCAGCCTCACCCTCCCCTCCCACAGCAGATCCACCACCCTCACTCATCTGGCATCACCTCCCATCCACAAACACATTTGTGCTCTCATCAGTTCTTCCCAAGTATGTAAATTTGTATTTTTAAGACCACACTTTGGAATGAAACTCAAAGATGAGAACTACCGACTTCTGAACTAACCTCTACCAGTGTAACTCAAGACAGAATTTAAAGAACTCAAGAAAATCTAAGTGTCACCATGAAGATAATTCAATGAAGCATACTCTGAATCTGGATATAGAATGTGTCAGATACATACTACCCCACTCTACACCTGACTCTACAAAACACCTCCTGAAGAATACGACCTAAAACAGCTTAAACTTATTTATTTACCTGTGCAATTTCTTCTGGAGTTGTAACAGGCTTAGACAGCTTCTTCAGTTCAGCTATGATAGCATCGACTGCAAGCATCACCCCTGAAGATGAAGGGAAGACTTGTGAGTGAACAAAGTAAGGTAACCACAGTGCAGAAAACAGCCCAAACCACAGCAGACAGGTCAAGTTCCAAACCAAAGTCTACACTGCAAAAATGCATCAGATAGCTGCTATGTTCATAAACAAGCGACTGGCACTTCTAGCTCCATATTGTCATCTGTACACCTAGTGATCACTTTTTGAATTGGTGTGACATGCTTCTCATCACAATCAGAATTTATGGCAAGTATATTTACATGGCAGCAGTAACTTCTGTATCAGAAATTAATTAAATGCAGAAATGGCTGTAAATGAAGTTTACCTATGACAAATTAAACAAGTTAACTGCATATAAAGTAGTAAAATGATTAGGCAAATGAAGATCTGTTTGGAGTAAATAACAGAACAAAAACAAGTGGGGTCTCTACACATCATACAAAGTTTTATGTGACTCTTGGTAAAGAAGGGAACTTATTCAGGAAGCCAGTCAAATTTGGGATATAAAAAATAAAGACAGTGATTAAGCATTAAAAACAAGAGAAAAAAAATTACCCCTCCTGATTTCTACTGGATTAGCTCCTTTGCTGATCTTGTCAAAGCCCTCCTTGGCAATGGCACGGGCGAGCACCGTTGCAGTCGTGGTGCCATCTCCTGCTTCTTCGTTTGTGTTGTTGGCAACATCCTGAACTAGCCTGGCTCCAATGTTTCTGTATTTGTCTTTTAAGTCAATTGCCTTTGCTACTGTCACGCCGTCTTTCGTCACTTTGGGACTGCCCCAGCTTTGTTCAATAATAACTGTTCTTCCCTAGGGCGACAAGGAACAGATGTTAAACCAAATCCACATAACCCACAGCATCTCACTCAGAGTTCAGCTGAAGATGAAGATCTTTTGGAACACCCACAGCTGAACAGAAACATCACTGGGCACAGGGCTTTCAGCCGGGATCTTTTTCAAGCACACACATTACCAGGATTCTGCAGAAATGGCTCAAAGGTCTTATACTTTCACACAATGAGGCTTCACTCCCCGGTCACAACACTTATGTTGCAGGCTCTGAGTCTGGTATAAGATAAGACTGGCCTTGCAAAGAAAATTCTTCAGTATTAGTATTCTAACACTGGTATTTTCCCCCTAAAGTGAAAATATAGCAACATAAACTAAATTTGCAAGGCTTCCAGCAAACCACACAAAAAAAATGTCTGTATGATTGAAAATGGTATTACAAAGTTCAATTTATTGTAAGTTCTGGAAAAAAAAAAAAGCAGACTTGCAAAGCTTATTAGTGACTAGCAGAAAGAGCCATGAATAGGTAACAAATCTGTGTGAATGTGCTGCAAGGGTTTCTCAAACTTCCCAAGTGAGCAAGCCTTTGTCTAAGCCCACACCTGCACTCAGCTCAGAAGCTGGACTGCTCTGCACAAGGCACACAGAGTCAACAGGAGAAGCTGTGGACTGTGGAGGTACCAGAGGGCAGATGTGCCTGCACCAGAGTATCGCTTGTCCCCAGATGCATCCACCAGCTCCAGTGGCTGCCCCAGTCAACCCCACTCCTGTTTGAGCAGAGGCAGCAGAAACGCCAGGAGCCAGCTCTGGTCCAGCACTGCCCTCCAACTCTGGCCACCCCAGCTCCTGGAGGTGTGGGGAGGTGGGACAGGACAGCAGCTGCCCCACGGCCCTCGCCCAGGCCCTCAGCAGCAGCACAGAGCTGCCCCAGCTCCAGCCAGGGCTGGGGTGCCAGCCAAGGGCTCCCAGACAAGGTGCTCCGGGCAGCGGGCACCCTGCTCCTGTCTGCCCAGAGCCCTCCCACCTGCCTCAGCAATTCACTGACTCAGGAGCCCCCAGGGGCTGCCAAAGAGGTCAGGCTGCAGGTACTGATGGCAAACAGCTTACAGAATGTTAACTCCGTGCTATAAACAATAATGCCAAACCAGCACACAATCTGACTTCTTACTGCTACTTCAAGAGTAAGGAAACTATCTCTGAAGGTCATTGATACTGGCAAGTTCTTCACGTAGCTTGTCTTTGTTTTGCTCAGCTCTAGTCTATGTTTTACCACAGTCCTATTCCACCAAATGTTTGTTTGGTAGCTGAGAGAGGAGCCACACAACAAAATCTGCTTATACCCTATCACATTAAAAGACTTATAATCACCAACCACCTTTTATCTGTGTTTCTGAGAAAGGAACACCACCAGTAAGTGCAGGGGCATTCTGAATGGTCCTGCAGATGAAGAACCCAAGTGCCCACACGGCCCAGCTGTGACAAAGTGGGCAGCATGCTGGCAGCCTGTGAGACTGCAAACCACACAGCTCCAGCCAGACAACAGTGCCCAGGGGAGCACCCACTCCAGAGCACACTCCTGACAAAGGCTGGAGGCAGAACCAGGCACTAGAGTGCAATCCCTCCTACACCTCTGCAAACAGAGAGCAGCAGATAAAGAGAACACTGGAACAAAACCCCCCCCAGGCTGCAGTAAGTGGCCTCAGAACTGCCCTTTAACCAGTGTGTTAGGAGGATGCTTCAGCATTCACAAAGCAGCCTCATCCAAAAAAGCAGGTGTTAATTAACTGACTGGGCTTAAACTTTGTTCTTTTATGGAAAAGAGACACAGCTTGCTGACAACACTGTTCCTTAACCTTCATCTCCCCAGCTGATGGCATTTTTGCCTTTGAATAAAGCTAGCTGAGCACCAAAAGTGTGCAAGAAACACAGGAATTAATTTTACAGAAGCCAAGGGGCCTTGAGAGCATACCTTGCATCTGCTACTATTATACAGAAGAGACATTTCTGTAAGCCCAAGGAAAATGGGTGTCTCTTCCTTAAGAGGGAATCTCATCTCAAGCCTTGCTGCATGTTGCATGACTATGCAGAATACAGCACACGGTCCTCCACAAGACCTAGAACTTACAGGGAATCGTGCACTGTATTCTGTCCTACAGGCCACATGAATGCCACTGCCATGGAATTTCACTAAAGCTGATAACATTTACTAGTGAACTGAAAACTCAACGTTCTGCTTTTCTTTCACCTTTTTTATACTAACAGGTAGAGTGACCACAATCTGTAAATCAATCAGTACATATACAGTTAAATTATCTACTGTGCTGTTACAGGCTGTCAGCCGAGCCATGGTAACCTATTAACTACAGCTTCTTAACCTTCAAATTTTTTAAACAAATATACCCAACCTTTCCCAGCGACCCAATTAATTTTACTTTGTTGCTATGAGAAGCACATGCACTGTGGTCACAGTTCTGGTGACAAAAAAAAAACATGGCTGCTTGCAGGCAGCAGTCTGTTCATACCCCTGCATTTTTGTGCTACCAATCTGTGAAGTCATCGTGCAGCTCTGCCCCGGGGAAACTAACAACTAGTTTCTGCTATGGCATTTTCAACCAGCTCAAAGTGTTAAACATAAAATGAATGCAAAATCTTCTATTACCTTTGGCCCCATGGTGACAGCTACAGCATCTGCTAGAAGATCTACTCCTTGAAGCATGAGAGCTCTAGCATCTGCTCCGAACTTAACATCTTTTGCATATGCTCGTGTGAGGTGGGGGGCGAGTGCTCTGGACACTGGCCGTATCTGACGGAGTACTGCAGGTAAACGGAGCATGGCTAAAAGATTAAAAAAACAGACATTACATGCTTTGATTGTTTCTTTGCAACATAAGCGCTACATTTTTGCAGTTACTTCTATAATAAGGCCGATGAAAACGGATTGGGGAAGTAAAGCAAGTGACCACGCACTTTCAGGGTTTGAACTGGCTGGAACAGAGTCAGACAAGAAAGCAGCAGGGCTGTGGAGCGCTCAGGGCAGGATCCGGGCTGCGGCAACTCCTCAACGAGCAGCCTCCAGCAGCCCCGGCCGGGCCTTCCCCGGCGGCAGG